ATTTTGGTCACAAACACATATTTTCCCCATGGCTCTTTATTTAAGTAGAAATGCATCCTTTAACTCAAGGTGGATGTCATCCTCCTATCATCCCTAAGCAATGGTCATACTTCCTGAGGTTGGTAAAATCCTAAGTCCTAAATATCTGAAGGACACAGAATGGGGAATGCCTTAAAAACTGTGTAAGATTTGAGTCACATCCAACACTATATTCTATTGTCTAAGCATGTAGAACAAAGGTACACAACCTTTTCTGTCTGGGAATCTTACTGGAGGCTGCATGAAGGCAGGAGCATGTCCAAAGAGAACCAGTATGGTGTACTGGTTAAGAGTCAGGAGATCTGGGTTCTAGTCCCCACTCAGTCATGGAGCTCACTTGGGTAACTTAGGGCCAGTAAGACTCTCAGTCCAACCTACCTCACAGGATCATTGCTGTGAGGGGAAGATTGAGAGAAGGAGACTTATGTAAGCCACCTTGAGTTCCTTGTAAGGAAAAAGATGGTACAGAAATGTAAAAACAAAATTAAAAAGACACATGGCCAGAACGATTTCACACCACCAAGTATTTTTTAATTTTTTAAAAGTGTATATTTCATCCCCATTAATTTTGTAAGTCTAAAGCCCTCTCTGCACAGTTTTGGTGGGATAACAAGCTACCCAGTAACACACTGGCCATCACTAGAGCTCTACGGTTCTTGTCACAGATATTAGTTTTCTAGAGTATCACTGGAAGTGAACAAAGACCAAAGGAGGAGGAATTGTCAAAGCTCTAAAGAACATGAAATACTTAAGAAAAGTATGGAAACATGTTTATTTTAGAAGCAGCAAAGATGCAGCGGCAGGGAGAGAGGAAGGCCCCTGTTCATCAGTTGGAAAAGCAAAAATCCTATCTAGTAAGTGCATTCCTTTTATTTAAAAAATGGTACAAATACATTTCAGCAGTGGGCCTGGCTAGTAACATGAAGGCCCTGGGGTGGGGGACAGAAATATTTAAGGGGGAATGTTTTTGCCCCTGAAGCCATTTCTTCTGAAAATTGAAAAAAATGATTATGGAATATTTTCCTTCATAATGATTAACAAAATGTTTAGACAAGTTGTTCATATATTGCTTCCCCAACATGTTTTCTAAAAACTATGTAACAGATGTTTATGTAAGACTATGCACAGTATCACAGCACTGTAATTCTTGTGTACTGTGATACTATGCAAGTCCTATATTGTAAATTGAAACTACAATTCTCAAATACAAAAACAAACGGCATTTCTACCTCTAGGAGCACTGCTGTTAGCAGACAAAAAGACACAGGTTTCACTTTCTTCTTTAATATCTTTAATAATGAGCTTCCTCTTGTTACTATATATGCCCTCCCGCTCCCTGAGATTGGCGGACGAGGCCCTTCTTCGGGAGCCCTCTGTGAAGGATATCAGGAGGGTGAGTACTCGGAGGAGGGCCTTCTCTGCGGTGGCACCCCACTTATGGAATGCGCTCCCCAGAGAGGTCTGCCTGGTGCCGTCCTTATTTGTTTTTCGGTGCCAGGCCAAGACTTTTTTATTTAAACGATATTTTAATTGTTAATTGGTTGTTTTTATTTATTGGTTTTGAATTAGGCCGAGATACTCCGAATTTTTAATGATATTCTATTCTATGTTATTTATTCTCTTTGTAAGCCGCCCCGAGGCTTCTGCGATGGGTGCGGCATAAAAGTGTTATAAATAAATAAATTAATACATACATACATACATACATACATAAATACTAGAGTTGGTGGATCTGTATCTGGGTCTTGATTAGGTCTCAAAGCACTGGGAGAAAGTGAAGAGTACAAAAAGATGCTGAAAGTGTAAGAGTTTCCCTTTATCTGAATTACAAAAATTGAACCATATTTTAACTGCATTTATCTTCATAAAACTTACATAAATCATTCTTTAATTCCTACTAATCTGATTCTTCATAGGAAGCCCCATGCCCAACATACCTTAGTGTTTACTTGCAAGCTAACCACTAATTTATATTTTCCCTCTCCTTTCAGCAACCAACTTCTAGCATGTGGAAGAATTTCCTCACTGAATGTTCTTCTGGCAGGAAAAAATGTGATTTGTCAATACTGTCAGATGAATTATCCATTTCCAAATGCTACTAGGATAAGAAAACATATCCTTGTATCATGTAAGACATATACTGGAGCCATTGATACAACTTTTGAGGATCTAAGTGAGGAGAAACATACTGATGAAATGAAGTTGTCTGCCCACCACTTCCACCACATCAACATCTTTAAGTAAATAAACATTTCAAACAAATGCATCCAAAAAATACTCAGGTTCGCTGGGCAGCAAGTAGATACCAGAAGGCCAGGAAAGAGTTGGTCAAGCTCTTGTATAAACAATATATAATTCTGGAATGTTACTATCAGTAATTAAAATTCCATACTGTCAGGAAGCTTAAAAATTACTAATAGACTGTTAGTCCTGTAAACATTGTTTGAGCAAGGTTCTTTTATAGTCCGGGCATGATTGTGCAGTGGAACCTGTACACAGAAAAATCAGCAAAGCACTGTGTCTTGCTTTACCAAAAGATAGATGGATGGACAAATAGGAGGGGGAATCCTTAAATGGCAACACCTCAACCAGTTTTCTACAGAAGCACTTAAACAGGCAATAATAGATATACTACTGAGTATATCAGCTGTAAAATATGTGAAGTCCTTCAGAAAATTGGGAGTGGTAAAGTATTTGCTTTGCCAACTGGCAGTGCAAGTAATATGACAGCCACATGGGAGACCATAATTGACAAATATTCACATATTAGCATAATAGGATGTGCATGTCATGGGCTAAACTTGCTTCTCAATGACATTTTGAAAACAGACAAAATAGACACCTTCCAAAGGATCCACAGACAAACTTGCCCTCTTCAAGGAGCAGCAAGAGAAACATTCAAAGAATATTATGTGACATTGAGGGTTTTTAATAAAACTTGATAGTTTTGAAAGTTTGAAAAGTTTACTGAAAACTTTAGTAAGTTTCCTAAGTTTACCTCTGAAAGTTTACTAAAAGAAGAAAAAAGAAAAGCTCTTCAAGAGGGAGCAATGATGAGGCTCTTAAAGTATCCAGCTTCCAAAGTTTGAGAACTTGGCCTTGGGAAGTCTCCAAAAGAACTTGGAGGGCATTCCTTTTGATTCCTTGTTTTAGAATGTTTATAATTATTCTGTGACATATTGCACATTTCTTTAGGTGCCATTTATTGACATAAAACAAAGCTTACACAAACCTGATAAATAAATCACAGGGACTCACAGCAGCAGAGAGACTACACCCCCACTCATTAATAAAATCCACAACCTTAGCCACACAGATATTTTAAGCTTAGAAAACTTGTGTGCATAATATTAGATTAAAAAATAACTACACACAGTTATTGCAAAAACGGGGGCAGAAAAGAAAGGTTTCTCTGCTTCCTGAAACTAAAAGGTATGTTCATGTATAACTCAATTTCTACTTAACATGGAGTTGTTAAAGGCAAATCTCTAAAAATGGAGCAGTAGCATCTCTGTTCTCATTGCATGTGATGAAGAAAAGCCAACATAATTTTCTGAGATATCTGCAATCTTGAAGAAATCCAACAGGTGAAGCTAGACAGACTGGTACACTGTCAAACTGATTTCCAAATAGTTAGACTAGATGATAAGTCTCATTTGAACTAGCACCTTCCTGGGGTTGCCAAATTTGTTCTCACCCCACCAATGGTTCTTTAACAGAATGAAATTCAGAAGTTGCAACTTCCTTTCCTCCTTGTATGTTTGTGTGAGGTGGGGAACTGGGGGTGGCAAAGCACAACTGTTGCACTTCTGCCAGTCATGCACCTGGTTAGGGGCACTGGTGTTCCTGCTAGATAACTAAATACTATCCTTAAGATACATGGCTTCTAAAATAACAACAACATACATTTGCTGATGCATGCTGTAATACTGGAGCCCTGGAATGTGGGGAGGGGGACAACAACAGCTGGCAATTAAACACATGGCTGGTGAGTCAATATGCAAAACTATTCACAGTTTATCTAGATTACTTTTCTTATCCCTCCTTCACTTCTTCTTCCCTCAGACTCCTATTTTTGGTCCACTGCCTACTCTGCATCAGTTTGCCATCATGGCATCCCTGCTTACTGAGACCATTTTTCTCAACTTAGCTAGCCCCTAACTACTTCTGCCTCTAGTTCTGACTGCAGCATGTTTTATTGCTGCTCAAGTAAACAACTTCTCTTTCAAAGTAGGGAAGTAAATATTCTATCCCACTAAACCAGCTCAGTTGACTACTGCCATGGAGATCACATATCAATACTTTACTATAAATCATTTCTGTCATCTTTTAACACTTAATTTGAAAAACTATTTTTCTTTCCTACTTCATTATGTGAACTGCCCCAGGTCAAGGAAATGTATCATCTAGTTAACGGTATCTGGAAGGAAAAGATAGGAACGAGTCTGCGTCCAAGATCCAGAAAAGCCAGTGCTAATCCATGATAATATTGGGTTAGATAAACAAAACCGCCTCCTTGTAGTCTCTGTTCTTATGATTTCACAAGAAGAAAATACAGACGTAAACAAACTGGGTAAAATAAAAAGTTCCTCGGAGTAGATACAAGAATGCTCCCTTACAGCTACCCTACATCCCCAAACATCAGACGCCCTCTCTTCGTCCCTGCCAGATCTTCCTATCCATGACACGAGCCAGGCCCGACAACGACTGAGTTCTCCCAGTCATGCTGCTGTCGGCAACGGGTGGGTAACTACAGGCTTCCCCTTTCGGACTGGCAAAATGACCAACCATTCAGCTTACAACACAAGGAGCTCTCAACCAATCAAGTTTTACGCAAAGGATGGTGGGCAGAGCCAAGTATACTTTCCTCTTCTCCTCCCCGCCCCACTTTCTCAACTGTACTAAGGAGGCTTCTTTCGGTAAGAAAAGCCTTGAACCAGGCAAGCTCAGCACTTGCTTACCTTCTATTGCAGTTGTGCTCGTCCTCATTCTCACAGTCTCTGCAGTGCTGGTGCTCATTCTCCCCTCTTGACGACCGCTTCACTGCTGTATCACCGTCATCCGCCATCTTGGCAAAGGGAAATCTTACCGGCTGCTGCGCCTGCGCCTTGCAAAAAAGACAGGCGATTGGGTGCCCGTCGCAATGCTCTATGGGATTTGTAGTAATCAGAAGCGGGCATCGAACCAAAGTATCCATGAGCTCTTGAGTTATAATATCTCCGGGTGATTTGCAGTAGGTCGAAATGCGTTCCGTCTCTTAGTTGCTTAATAATAGCAACACTTACCCTAAAGTGTACTTCTTAAAATGAAGAAAATATAGAGTAGTAGGCACGTGTGTGTAAAGAACTGTGGGATCAGTTCAGCTCTTGATACTCATTTTAATTGAGTAATTCTATGTGTTTCCTGCAAAAGTAGTTACTGCAAGCCTTCCCATTCCTGCCCTCTAGCAGTCCTTCCTTGCCGTGAGGTTTGCAACTAAGGCTCTTCTCTTAGCACTTTTGTCATTACATTCTGTGCCCTCTGCGGTGGCAACCTGACAGTGGAATACCTCTTCCCCTCAGATTCTGTGTCCTGCTTTCAGCAAGAAGCACAAATTTCTTGATTTTAAAATCTGTTTTATCTCTAGGCTCATTTCTAGTGCTTCTGAAGCAATAGCAAAACATATAGTATCTCTTTTCGTGCATAGAGTGTATTTCCATCCACAAAGGTAAACCCTGCCATTTGGATTTTATAGAGAATTCTCATCTATCTAGAATTTAAAAGCAGAACTTCTAGGTGAAAGGATGAGGCTTCTGGTATATGTAAGTGCTAACAAGTATTTCATACCAGAGTATTGAGCTTTGCAAGGATGATTTCTGTATAATCATTTCTAAATGATTTCTAGTCAATCAGCAAGTTTCTTAAACTACAGTACTTGAATCCATTCAAGTGTTGATTACAGAATGATTTAAACCTTGTCCACTTTAGTAGTGCACTCCTGTAATGTTTACTTGGAGGTAGGGTCCACTATGCTCAATGGAATAACCGCAAACATATCAAAACTCTTTTTTAAAATATTTCTTTTGCTATCGGCAATTTTGCCACTATTAATTAGATATCACTCATGAACAAAGGGGGTGCATGGGTCCATCTGCAGCATCTCTCAGAGCCTCAGGCAGTTTTCCAGCTCTATTATTCAAGATCCTCTTTTAACTGGAGATGCCAGGAGTTTAATTCAGATTTATATTTATTAATATTACAATTTTATACTCTCTTTCCTTTGGGGAGCTTGGGTGGTCCCTCTGCAATCATAGCATTAAAATGCATCAGTGAGGTGAAGTGGAAAGATACAGCAGGCTCAAAGTGATTTTAATAACTTATGAGGAATTTAAACCTGAGTCCTTAGCACTGGTCAGTCTACTAAAAAAGAACTGTAAACGTTGTTTTTGCTTTCAAGTCATTTCCTAAAAAGCAAGAAAAAGACTGAGGGTCATTCTCCACTTCCCCGAGCCCCACCTCAGGCCTTGCTGCTACTGTTGTATTAAAAAGTTGTGTATTCTAGGTGACAATACGAAACTCGCACTGAATTCTGTTCTCGGACGTATGAGAGATCCCTGGACTCTGCCCCAGATGCAGTTCGGGCATCACTCCCAGTCTTCCTATGTCAAGAACCGACAATCCTATCTGTACCTCGGGGGGAAGCGAGTATGCAGCGAAAGTGCTCTACCACTGAACTATGACTATCATTTGTGTCTGCTGCGATCCAGTCTCAGACTCCTTCAGGTACCGGAAAAGGAACCGCAATCTCTGTCGTTGGCAAAGAGGAAAACCTCTAAAACGAGCTCGATCCCTGGAAGCGTATTCCACCCTACTGCTCTTCCATGCACATCCATTGCCCCTCACCGTCCTCTTCTCGAATTGAACCTTCGTTTGTAGCTTTGGCTGCATGCGCGCAAATGCAGAGGCAAGCCTTTGCAGCAGCGTTGCATTTGGATTGGATACATTTCTCAACGTGACTCCTTTCTGCTAATAGGAAGTCGGGAATGGCAGCTATGCTTGAAGCAGGCAAGAGAGACATTTTTAGTCCGGGTGTGGAGCCGGAAAAAGCGGGTGAGTGGATCTCAAGAATTTTCGTCCCGTGTGCGGGAGTCTCAAAGTGCTTTGTCATTTTATGCTTCGGCTCCAGAGCCCGAGGAACCGTGTTCAGGGTTCTGAGCATGTGCAGAGTTTCGTCTTTTCTGAGCAATAACAGTCAGTCCCCTCAACTCTGGAACGAAATTTGAGGGGTTCCAGATTAGTGTGGTAGGCTTTACCTTCAGTCTCTCCCTTTAGAAATTAAGGAGCGGGTGGGGTAGACTCCAGATCTGTGGAAGAGGGGGAGTGTGTTTATTTGCCATTTACATGGTGGTGTACCAGGGTGACTTTGATTTCAGGAACCTCTAACTGGAGGAATGTTGTCCATGGGGTCGCGATGGGTCGGACACGATTTCGCGACTAACAACAACAACAATGCTCCTCATAATTTTTAAAAGGAACAACAAATAGTAGTAAGTGATAGGCTCAAGACTGTTATAAGTTAGTTTGCTGTATCTCCAGATACTCAACTTTATCAAGAGTTGCAATATGTTGGATAATATTTTTTTGTCACAGCAGGTAGAATTTGCACTAGCTGCTTTAAGGCAGACTTATTAGGAGAATGGTGAACTTCCTAGTAAAATATTGGCAAATCATCTTTGACAACAAAAACATTAAAACATTATTTTAGTGGTAGTGGTAAGACGCTCATCCTAAAGACATACATTTTCAATTTTTAAAATGTTTCTTAGAATTGTATAGCTGTGACTGTGAAATTTAGGAGATACCAATATTTTCCCCAGGTTAATATTCCCTGTTTAGATATGTCACAAAGGCAGTTTTTAATGGTGTCTTTGCAAATTGATGGAATAACAAAACCAATAAATAATATGAAAATGGAACCAGATGATCCAGATGGATTTCCAATTGAGTGGTGTAGAATATTTTCCAGTTTTTTAGTTCCCAAACTTTCTAATTTGGGTAGTCCTGTGAGGTAGGTTGGGCTGAGAGTTGTTCCCTTTCCTAATTGCGCCTTACAGGACCTCTTCCTTTTTCACATCAGCTGCATACCAGGTCAACATTTTCACTGAGCTCCACCACAACAGCAAGATTTCTTCCTTGCTAGCCCAGATTCAATCC